TCAAAATGAGGATAACTGTATTTTTGTACTATTTAGTCGTATGAACGTACTAGTTTCTAACCAAATAACCAAAAATTAGTATGGACCATACTAATTTTTGGTATTATTTGGTTAGAAACTAGTACGTTCATACGACTAAATAGTACAAAAATACAGTTATCCTCATTTTGAAACAAATTATATTAATTTTTGAAACAAAAAGTCTTTCAGTGTGTGAGTGCCGTTTAAACCCCGCTATGTTCTACAAAAAACAATCTTAAATTTTTTTCTAAACTTAAAAAACAAAAACTACATGACCTTAAAATTTCAAAAAAGAAATTAAAATCTTTCAAAATTGAGTTCCAGACGTTATGATTGAAGTCCTATTTGCCCCCCCATTAAGGGTCTTTTTGTAGAATTTAGTGGGAGAAAATGGAACTACTATCAGAACAGTTATAACTGAATTTTGAAATATTTTCATTGTTGTCTATTGAAAGTACTGTAGTTTCTTTGATAATAAATTTGGGACGCATGCATATACACGGAAAGAAATTTAGTAGCAATATTTGATAAATCTGATAGGAAATTTTAGTATTCTCTTTTTCAAACGCGGAACATTTGGGTTTGATAACGAAAATCGGTATATTTTTACCAATAGTCTTTTTAGTAAATATATTCCAGAAATTGAAATTATTATTTCGTAAATTGATAAATTTATACGAAAAACCAGAAGTAAGTTAAATCGACGCGCACTTCGTTATTTACTAAATTTATATGAAAATTTGGAAAGATTATTTCGAAATTTGTTAAAACTATACTAAAAATTCGAAGTGGTTCAGTCGTGACAGATGACGACAGAAACTCCAACAGATTCTACGCCAAAGTTTTATCTCTTTCTCATCTCGAGGATAGACGAGGATATGAACTTTTAAATGCACACACACATACACCGCATTGTTTTACATCGATTGGCTTATTTTTATTCCTAACCTATACTAACGATAATACGTATAACATTCGCAGAATAACGCTTCATATACAAATTTACGCTCATGTGAAAAACTGATGTGACCATTCTTATATACTAACCAGACATATTTTTCACCGCTTATGAGAAAGGTGAAATTATATTAAAACATGTTTAAAAATATAAATAAAAATCATTATTTATTGGGAAATAATTAAATATTTTATTATTTTTTGAAGAACAATTTTTTTTACTGATTTATTGTAAAATCTTCGAAATTAATTATATAAAAGAAATTCAGGTCTGTATCAAGATAATGGTAAAAAGGGGCTTGTCTAAAGAGCTTCGTCAGTCTTCGTTACCACTCGGTGAGGATAGGGCAATTCCGAACGTTCAACTTCGGCAAATTTCGTCGAATCTCGTTAACTTTGATATTTCTTTTTCAATTTTCATATCAAATATATCAAAATCTAAAATAATTATATCATTTTATACAATTCTAATTACGAAATTTGAAATATTTGGTTAGAAAAATTGATAAAGAGCTTATTAAAATTTGACATTTTTGTGTTTCAATAAAAAGATTTCAGATTTCGTAAATATTATATCAAATTTTCATTCCAACTATATTAAATATTCTTATTTTAATCTCAATCATTCTTAAAAATAGTATCGAAAATCGTTATCATGCCAAAATGTTCCGCAATTGTAACCAAATATACTAAAAAGTAACACCATAATATCAAATATTGCTACAAACTTTCTTTCCGTGTACCCTTCATTAGACTTGACGGAATTTTTGAAGTGTCAAATTAAAAATTATCCAATTTACATTCAGTAGAATTATAAAAAAGAGATTTTATAATGAGCCCAATTTTAATAATTAAACATGTCTATTAAACAAAATTTTGATTTTGTAGAATTTCTATATATTTAACTGAACTTAGATAAAGCAGATTTTCTAATATATAGAATTTTTAAATAACACAATTTCCATTTAACAAAATTGATATCTAGAAAAATTTTTATTTATCAGAATTGTTCTTTTGTCAAACTTCTATTTATCCGAATATTAACTTAAAAGTATTTTAATTAACAGAATTTCCAATTAAAATAATTTCTATATAAAAAAATTCACATTTAACAAAAGTTTTATTCAAGAAATTTCTGTTGAATCTAATTTTTATTTATACACTGAGAAAAAAAATTTAATCTTTGCAACAAAATTGTTTATTTGGAAATTTTGGTTCTTGTAACTAAATTTTGGTTTGCTCAAACAGAGTCGTAGAGTTATCTCAACCAAACATTTGGTTAGGCCAACAAAATTATTTGGTTGAACATTTTTAAATTCCAACCAAAATTTGGTTACGACAACAAAATAGTTTGGTCTAAAAAATCAAATGATCGTTTGTTGTCCTAACCAAAATTTGGTTGCGACAACCAAATAATTTGATTCGCTCTCAGCTCATAGCTTAAGAGAACAGTTAGTTTAAATCTCTCACGAGGATGGGTAGTCCAGTGGTCAGAGCTCCCGACCTTCAGTTTTAAAACAGAGGTTCGATCCCAGGTGGAGATGAGATTTTTCAAAGTCCTCAAATATTTCAATTGGATAAATATAAATTCAATGTTAAATTGATTATAAATAAATAATGAAATAAATAAAAAAGATAAAAAGAAAAGAGATAAAGTAGAATAAAATTTTTAATTTTACAAAAAAAACTGTTTGTTTGATAAACCAAACATTTTTGTTATGCAAACAGAAAACACTCAACCAAATTTTTTGGTTGACTCAAGCAAATAGTTTGGTTGCTTAAATACCAACAAAATTTTTTTGTTGGCCCAACCAAATTTTGGTTGCTCTGACTAAACATTTTTCTCAGTGTAGAATTATCATTTAACAGTAATTCTTCTTAGCTAAATTTTTAAGACAGCGAATTTCTATTGCACAGTTACTTTATTTGACCAAAGTTTCACTTATCCGAATTTTCATTAGATAGAAATGTTAAAATGTCGAATTTCCATTTGATCCAACTTTTATATATCAGATTATCCACTTGGTATACAAATTTCAGCGGGAGTTTTAAAATCAACCAATCAAAAATTATTAAGAAAATTGTGATTGGTTGATTTTAAAACTCCCGCTGAAATTTGTATACCAAGTGGATAATCTGATATATAAAAGTTCGATCAAATGGAAATTCGACGTTTTAACATTTCTATCTAATAAAAATTCGGATAAGTGAAACTTTGGTCAAATAAAGTAACTGTGAAATAGAAATTCGCTGTCTTAAAAATTTAGCTAAGAAGAATTACTGTTAAATGATAATTCTATAAATAAAAATTAGATTGAACAGGAATTTCTTGAATAAAACTTTTATTAAATGTGAATTTTGTTATATAGAAATTATTTTATTGGAAATTCTGTGAATTAAAATACTTTTAATTTAATATTCGGATAAATAGAAATTCGACGAAAGAACAATTCTGATAAATAAAAATTCTTTTTATGAAAATTTTTCTAGATATCAATTTTGTTAAATGGAAATTGTGTTATTTGAAAATTCTATATATTAGAAAATCTGCTTTATCTAAGTTCAGTTAAATATATAGAAATTCTACAAAATCAAAATTTTGTTTAATAGAAATGTTTAATTATTAAAATTGGACTCATTATAAAATCTCTTATTTAAAATTTTACTGAATGAAAATTCGATAATTTTTAATTTGACACTACAAAAATTCCGTCAAGTCTAATGAAGGGAATATTTATGCGTCCCATAAATTTAAGTAGAAAAAATTTTATTACGGTTTGTTTTAGAACTCAATAAAGGACAAACAGAACTCCAATCAAAACTCTTGGAATTCAATTTTGAAACAAATGAATATTTTTTAAATTCCAAAGTCATGTAGTTTTATTTAATTTTAAGTTTAAAAAAAATTAGGACTGTTTTTTGTAGAACTTCGTGAGGGGTAAACAGAACACATATCAGAACTTGCGGAACTCGTAATATAAATATTTTTTAAAATAAAAAAGTAGCTTAAGTAGCTTATAGCTAGTTTTTTTTCGATTGTACATGTACAAAACTATTTTTCAAAAAAAGAGAACTCTAGAACTCTGTTACAACTATTCAGAACTCTAAAAAATTTTTATTTTTTTAAAGTGGAGGGCTGCGTGAAGTTAGCCCCACAGCATGAAAAATCGATTTGTTAACAATTAACTCCCGGAACTATTTCTAAAAACTATCAGGAAATTTAGAACTATGCTAAAGAAAGTCCGAACTCTAAAAAAATTTAATTTTTTGAAAGTGGGAGGTAATTTTAAAAAAATTTTTTTTAATAATTTTCAAGTTCAGCACTTTTTTTGATTTTAAATTTGGAGTAAAATGTCATTAGAATAATTCATAATTATTATAAGTTTTTAATTCTAGTACGCACTCTATTTTTTTCGCATTAATTATGAATAATTTAAATATTGTTGTCTATAGTGAGATTAGACTTTTTACATCTGTATTCACTGCAAATAAAATTTATTACCTAGTCTAATTCAATTATTTTTAAAATAATTTAATTTTATCTAAATTATCTATAATTAATTTATTATTATCTTATTTATTACTTTATTCTTCTATGTAAATTATCTTACTTTTCACATTTCATAATTTGAATTAAGAATATCCTAAAGGAATATGCACAATTCCCCACGTTTTTTGAAAAATCTGTATTTTCGAAAAACAAGCAAAATTTTTATAATTGTATTGAAGTTTAATTAATTGATCATGCCAAGAGTTGTGTTTGTACGTGTACTAAAAGTTCTATATATAGTACAATAGTCACAAAAAATTGAAATAATAGTTTTGATCCAAAAACAAAACCCGATGCACAACTATCCCCATTCCTCCCCTCTTTTACTAAAACACTTTTTATTATAAATTACTTTTTAATTTAAAAATACGAAAATTTATGGAGTCACACTAACTTTTGATTTTAATCTTTACACTTAAAATGTCTTTTTTAAAAACTTGCAAAAAATGAAATTTATATTTTTCGTTTTCAGAAAACTTTGCAGACCTTTGGAATCATGATGCACAACGTTCGAGAAATAAGTAGACAAATGCAAATGGCGAGTATTGCAAGGATTCAACAGATTTTCGCTGGGGACGTTACCAATCAATTTAAAAATGCAGTTAGAAGAAATGATGAAGCTCGTATTAATGAATTAATAACGCAAAAAACTTCTCTTGTGAGAGACAAATTTAGCAACGATACATTTTTGCATATTGTTGCTAAGGATGGAACACCAGAGGCTGCGATTCGATTATTGCAACTGGGATCAGATGTTCACGCCAGGAACTTAGAGGGAAAAACTCCAATTTTTTATGCTTTAAAACATTCTGCTCCAATGATTAGGGCTTTTTTAAATAATGCAGAAATAATTCAAAAAAATAATTATACTTTACTTTTGGATGCTTTAGTAATTGGTTCGGAAGAAATTGTAGGAGTTATATTAAATAAATGTCTTATTAAAATCGCGGAATATTCGTTACAAAATGTAATTTCACCCACAAGATTACAATCAGATTTTTGCGAGTTTCAAAATACCGAAGATCTAATAAATTCTATTTTGCGCAATAGGTTCCAATTATTTCTAGAAGAACAAGATTATGTGCCTTTCATTTTCTTTGTTGCGAAAATTGGAAGAACCGATATTTTACAATTAATTCTAAACGAGTGCAGGGTCGTATTGAATGCTAAAGGAAAAAATAAAGTAACACCTCTTCATTTAGCAGTAATTGCTCAACTTCCGGAAGTTGTGCTCTTTCTTTTAGAAAACGGCGCAAACCCAAACTGCCAGATTCAAAAACAAATAACACCACTTCACATTGCAGCGTTTTTACAAAACGAAGAAATTTGTGAGCTTCTCTTGAATTTCAGAGCCGATTGTAATATAGGGTCGTTTGATATCGGATATCCATTGCATCTAGTTTGTGGATCAAATTATGGACAGGTTCTCAAAAAACGGCTTAATCAAACTTTTCTTAATATGTTCGACAGTTGTAAAACATTCGACGAAAAAACTATCAATCGTACAATAATGAAACTCTTACTAGAAAACGGAGCTAATCCGGAATTTCAGAGTCGTTATCTAGAATTACCCTTATTATACGCTTGTCGTTGTGATCGTTTGGAAGAAGTAAAACTTCTTCTTGAATTTGGTGCAAATGTTCGAGCTGTGGATAGTCAAGGAAATTCGGCTTTACATCATGCATGCATTGGAAATGCCTTTGAAATTGTTAGAATGTTATTAGAACAGGGTGTCGATATTGAAACAAAAAATCAACGCAATCATACTCCATTTGTATTTTCATTAAACAGTTCGTTAAATCTGAAAATGTTAGAATTCCTCGTCGATAATGGAGCGAATGTTAATGCTGAATTTTCAAGTGGATTATATGAAGCACTTCGTTGTTCTTCGCCTGATGTTGTCGAGTACTTATTGGAACTAGGTGCGGATTACTCAATTTTGAATAAAAAATTTGTTGACGTTGAGGTTAGGGAAATAGCTAAACATAAACTTTTTATATCATATATAACTTTGTATAAAAATGAATCGCTTAAAAATATACAGCGTTTCTATGATGAAAACGATTGTGAAATGCAGAAAAAAATTATCGATCATTTTGACAAATGTAAATGCGAAATTACAAAATTGAAAATGACAAAAATTTCGGAAGAATTAACAATATCTTATTTTGATTTCTTAACAAGGAATTTTTATAGTACTGTTCAGATTTTCAATAATACAAAATTGAGAAAAATTTTAAGTTTCAAAACAGCGAATTCGGAATTAAAAAATGAATTTCCTTGTTATAATTACTTGTTAAGAAAGCGATTTGAAAGGGTTAAAAGTTTAGAGATTTTTGTTAATAAAAGTTCCGATTTTATTTATCATTGTGGGACACTTAAGGTGCCAATTCTTGTCACTGAAAAAATTTTGGGAAATCTTTCCTCACATGATTTCCGAGTTCTGGGTACAAGTTTGTCCAATGAAAGCTTTTAAAATCTATACGTCACATTATATCTAATTAACTAGAAATGTAAGTCATTTAAAATAACTGCGTAAATATGTTAGATATTATTCTTAAAAATAAAAAATTGCTTAATTATTTTTATACTTATAATAAAAGTTATTTCTTTATAAGAAATTGAAAATTTTATTTTATTTTTTATTAATTTATAATCCTTTCCTTTATTTCACAAATTCCCAAACAACTATATATAGGATATTAAAATTAATTTTTATTAAAACTTTGCGAAACTATTTCTTCGTTTTGAGGTTATGTTAGTGTCTCCATTCTCTTTAATTTTTAATACAAATCAGATAAAACTACTATAGCAATTAAAATAGCAAAATTAAGATTTAATATTAACATTTTAAAAAATTAACACAAAAACTAATTCACAAGTATTATTTGTTGCTAAAAAGATATTAAATAAGAAATTAAATATGTATAAGGTCACATTAAATTCAAATTTTTCTTAAAAAAATAAAAAAAACTACATTTTTTAATAACTTATATGCGTTAATAGAAAAGTAATTAAAAATAAGAATTGAAAAAATTTGTTATACTTACCAGAATAGGTAAAATTATTAGTAAGAACATCTTTTATACATAAAAAAATCCGATCATATATACTATTTTAACTTTATAGTGCAAATTGGGAGGGGGAAATTCAATATGGCCGTAAACTGAAGGTTTTGTCTTACAATTTGAAAAAATTTTAAAATGTCTTAAGTCACGCCGTTCAGTGTATTTTTGTTATTGAACACGTGTTGTCACTTCAAATACTGGAGTAAAAATATTAGATTTAAAGTTACATATTGTACTGAAAAGTAGCTTATATTGTAAATTTAATAAATTATAATGGAAGGAATAGAGAAACTTGAAGAAACAGCTCCACAAAAAGCGACGATGTAAGTTAATTTTTCGCATTTAATGTAAACATAACCTCCAATCGATTTATGACAACTACATGCATATTTCTATATTTTATTGTCTCTTTTTATAAAAAAAACATTTTTATGTTTAATCTATATAAACAAATCAGTAAAACCTTAATTCTTACATTTTACTATTAAATAATATTAATATGAAATATTTTTAGCGTATTTCGAAGGTTTTTTATTCAGATAAAGTCTCTATAAAAATTGAAATTTGAAAATTGAATATCTTTTATTTCTTTGTTTAACTATTATTTACTTTGGAAAAAATAATTTATTGTTGAAAATTTTATTTCTTTTTATAAAATTAAACAAAAGAAAATTCTATGTTTTCAAATTAATTTAGTGATTATTTATAATTATGAGCAAATAATAATAAAAGTATTTCTATAAAAATAAATTTATTTTTTTTAGATTATGTTGCGAATGTGGCACAAACATCGAACCGAATCCTACAAATATGTGCGTTCCATGTTTGCGAACGCAAGTTGATATTACAGAGGGAATTCCCAAACAAGCAACAATACATTTTTGTAAAAGCTGTGAAAGGTATGTTATTGATTCACAATTATTATTGTTATAAAAGATTTTAAGAAAGTTTGTACTTTTTTTAAAAAAAAGAAAGAAATTTTTTTTACCAATACAAATATGCTAATAAACTTTTATGTAAATGATTATAAAAAGGAAAAATAATCTTCAATAAATGTGGATTTATTCCTTTTTAGATATTTACAACCCCCTCAGGAATGGATTCATGCAGCTTTGGAGTCTCGAGAACTTCTTTCGCTTTGTTTAAAAAAATTAAAAGGACTTAACAGAGTTAAACTAATAGATGCTGGTTTTATTTGGACCGAACCTCATTCTAAACGACTTAAGGTATTTTATTGTTTTTAATTTAATTTAAAATACGCAGTTTATATATTTTTTTAAATTTAATTAATTGATAATGAATAATAATAAATTTTTGTTTCATATTGTGATAATGATTTAATTTTTAATTATTGAATAGGTAAAATTAACAGTCAATGCTGAAGTTATTGGAGGTGCAATTTTACAGCAAGTTTTCGTAGTCGAGTTTATAGTAAATCATCAAATGTGCGATGATTGTCATAGAACCGAAGCTAAAGATTACTGGAGAGCATCAGTGAGTATTTTTTCATTTTTATTAAAGCATCAAATCAGATTAAGACGTTTATTATTAACTATATTATTAAACATTGAATAATTTAATTAATTAAATTTTATTATTTTTAATTTTATTAACAATAATAAAATTTATTATTAATTAAATTATTCAACATTTAATTACTAAATTTTTATTTTCATTTTTAAAACCTGAATTACAACTTTCAGTTCATGAAAGTAAATTTTGCCAAATAAATTTTTCAGGTTCAAGTTAGACAGAAGTCAATAAATAAAAAGACATTTTTCTACTTGGAACAATTGATATTGAAACATAAGGCTCACGAACAAACTTTGGGAATAAAACCCATTCATGGTGTGTATTTTTTTAGATGTAAAAAATATTTTGTTAAAGTTATTTTTTCTTATTTTTGTTTATTTTTCTTTAGCTTCTTCTTTTATGCTACATTCAAAATATATTTATTTTTTTACTTATTTTATTTATCCCTTATTCGTACAAATTTTTCAATGTATTTTTTCTGCATTATGACAAAATTACAAAAATCTTTTATATAATTTTTAGACATATTGTAAAATTATTTTTAAATAATTAAAATCTTTTGATAAATATATAAAACTGAAATTCTTCTTTTAGAGGGACTTGATTTTTATTTTTCGAATGAAGCATCAGCACGAAAAATGATAGATTTTTTCACATCAGTTTTGCCATGTCGTTATCAACATTCGAAAAAATTAATATCACACGACATTCACAGTAATATTTATAATTATAAATTTACATATAGGTATGTTTTTTGCGATAAACAAAAATTTATATATAATTTTTATATATTTTTCTTTTATATTTCCAACTCTTAGAAATTTTTTTTCATTTTTAAGAATTTTGATATATCATTTTGCATGTATTTTTTTTTAGTGTGGAAATCGTTCCTATTTCAAAAGACAGTGTAGTGTGTCTGTCGAAAAAATTGACTCATCAATTGGGTGGAATAAGTGCCGTTTGTTTGGTTTATAAAGCAACAAACGCATTGCATTTAATTGACGTTTCCTCTGGACAAGGTAAGATACAAAAAATTTTATTAAAATAATTTTTTTTCTAATCTAAATCTTTAGAAAAAAAAATTGAATCTAAATTGACAATATTTTCTTTATTTATTATTTATTTATTGAACAAATCCAACAGTCTCCAAGACCAATAACAGGATTATCACAGTACAAAATTGTAATTATTAGTTATTATGGCTATTATATATTATTCACTACAAATAATAATTATTAAATATTTTAGTTTAATTTTATTTAAATATCATTTCTGAATGTGATTAGTTTTAATGTATTATTATTTCTATCAGATGCATACTTTTGATTAGATAACGTAATAGATTATTTTTGAAACTAAATTATGTGAGTTCAAAAAAAAAATTATTTTTATTAAATTAATTAATTTCTATAAACTTGCAATTTTTTTTAAAAATGTTTTAATTTAAAAATAAATTAATTAAATTAATGTAGGTACAAATAAAAGAGATTTTAAATAAAAATGAATGAAATAAAATAATTTAAGTTGAAGAAAATTTTTTGTTTTTTATATTACAGTTGCGGAAGTTAGTTCCACAGTATATTGGCGAGATCCTTTCAAAAGCATCTGCAATCCTAAACAATTAACAGAATACGTTGTTATGGATATTGAGCCAATAAGAGATAAAGATAAGAAAATATTTCCTGGACAAGGAGCCATTTCTAGCAAAGTAAATTGAATATGAAATTTATTTCTTTAAATAATTATTTAAGTTTTTAAAACTTTTGATTTTTTAAGAAAAATTGATTATTTCACATAGAGGAAGTACTTTGAAATAATCTATCTGTTTACTTTATTAAAATTATTATTATTATCGATTGATTATAAATCCGAATATTAAAAGATAAAAATCTGATAAATACAAAGAAAGTAAAAAAAAATTTAATGAACTAATAATTAACAGATTATTAATTGGGTGATAAAAATTATGTGGAAAAAAAAGTTGTTTCTCTTTGAATAAATGTTTCCTAACTTTTCAAAGATGGGAAAGTTTTTCGTTATAAATTTTTAATTAATTCAATATTACGAAAAAAAATCACAGACGTAGAAACGTAGATTAATTTTTTTAATGAAATTATTAAATTTCTAGCACGTGATTTCCGACGTTTGGCTCGTGAAGGCATCAGAATTGGGAATTAATGAGAATACCATTCACACTCGCACGCATTTGGGTTATATTTTGAAACCTGGAGATTCGGCTCTGGGGTGGGCATTTTTAAATATTTCAGTCTAATTTTATTTTAATATTAATATTATTTAGATATTTTATTCATTTTTAATAAAGTGATAAAATAATTATTTATCGATTGAATAAAAAGTAAATTTAATGAAAACTATTTTTATTCTCTTTTTTTAATATTTAATTAGAAAAGTTTACAAATGATTCAACTAATCTATTTTTCCAGTTACGCTGTGGGGGATAGCAACATAAATGATTCAAATTTTGAGAAATTGAATCAGGATCTTGTACCAGAAGTGATTTTGGTGAAAAAATTCTACGGGCACGATAAAGCTGCTCGACGTCGTGCTCGTTTATGGAAACTAAAGCATCTCGCAGAAGACGTGGTTAGCATGAGCACAGAAAATAAGTAAGTTTTTTCTTCTAATTCTTAACTCGATAAAAAAATTAAATATCAAATATAAACCAAAGAAAATAAATTAAACTTTTTAAAATTATTTTCTGATAAAAAAATGTAGCCGAAAATGTTTTTTAATAATGTAAAAAAAATATTTTGATTTCAATTTCAAATTACTAATTAATTATTTATATTCGAAATAATAATCTTTTTTTAAAACATCAATTTCAAGTAAAATTAAAAAAAAATTGCTTAATAATTGAAAGAAATTTCACAAAAACTATAAAATTTTTATGAACTTAATTGTTTCTTTTTCCCTACGCGCATAGTGAGTACAATGAATTCTTGGACGAATTGGAGGAGGATCCGGAAATGAGACAAAATATTAACATTTTCCGTGATACAAGTAAACAAATTCCAGTCGACGAGGACGATGTGATCGATCCGTCAGTGCCACAAATTACTCTTGATGAAATGCTGGATGATCTTTTTATAGACGATGTGGAAATGACAGATGAAACGGAATAATGATGAAAAGTTTAGAAAAAAGTCAGTTGTAAAAAATCTGTTCTTTTTTTCTACAGATTTCCGGATATGATAATAAAAGTATATAAACAGAATATAAGTAAGTTTTTTTTTTTAAAAGAAAAACATGATTTTACATTTTAAAATGAATGTTTAATACATTTATTAATAGTACATAAAAAGAAGTTGTATAAAAAACAGTAATTTAATTTAAATTTTAGTTGAAAGGTTTACAATAGAAAATTTTTTCTTTTTAATTCATTAAATAAAAATATCACATTTTTTCAAATATAAATTTTTAAAAATATTTTTGATTTTTCAATTCTTTTTTAGCATATATTTAAAAATTTGATATTGCTATTATATAATAATTTTTGTATTCCATTCTATTTTCTAATATTGATATATTTTTATCGTATTTCCTGATATCAGTTTTTTATAAAAATATATTTTTTGTAATTTGTTTTTACATAACTTTTTTGAAAATTGTTTTATTTTTTTTTGTAAGTGTTTACAGGAGGAAACTTTAAAATTAGACTAAAAACACCTGTTATTTTTCATTTTAATCAAAGGGATCAAATGGTATTTGAGGAGTTGATGAAAATTGAAAGAATCGAATGAAATCTTAACAAATTGTAAACATTGAGCGATAAATAAGATTAATTTTTTTTCAATGAATAATGCGTATCAACTTATTGAATATAGGAGATGAATGTAAGTTGAAAATTAAAAGGTCATAATTTGTATTTTAAATACTTGCAAGAAAAGAGATGGAAAAATGTCGAGAGTGGGGTTTTTAGTTTAAGAAGGTAAGAAATCCTCTTATCAAGTTCAGTAATTTCTGTAATTCTATTAGTGGTCAAATCCAATATGAAGTTTTTAACAATTTCTCTTATTTGCCTCACATTTTGCACGTTTCTTATCGCTACCAATTCTCTAAATAGTAAGTGGATGAATTTTCTTTCTTACTTGATCTTTTAAATTATTTGCATTTTTAAATCATTCTGTTTTTCTGTGGATTTTTTTTTTTAATTAAAACTTAAAATTGACGATAACATTGATTAATTAATAATTAAAAATTTTTATTACATTATAATAATAATAATATAAAAAAATTAATAATTTGATTTTTTAACTAATTGCACCAATTTAAAAACAATATCTAATTTTTAAAAGATAAAAAACTGTTTTTCTTAAATTAAAAATAAATAAACTTTTTCAAATTATTCAAGAATGACAAATTAATTCGCATGTTTTTGTTTATTTTATTATTGTAACAATAATGAAATATAGGTAATAAAAAAATAGTACAATAATTAAATTCTAGATAAAATTGTGAGAATTATTTTTTGAATAAAAAAAATATTTGAAAATTTATTTTAAAAAATGAAAACTTATTTTGATAACTGTTTTTCTATTTGTTTCACAATGATTTTCATATTCAAAGTTATTCAAAAACCTTGTAAATAGTTGGAAATTACATACATATATTGTTTATTATTTATTCCAATACCGCATCTTTATTCTTAGAACGATATTTCCGTTCTTTGCAAAATTTTTAAATTCCTGATGGCTTACAATAAAAATTTAGAAAACAAATGATGAAAAATCAGAAACATTGATTATTAAAATATAGAATTTGAAAAGTAAATGAAAAAATATAAAAATTAATTAATAAGTACCGAGACGTTTATAAAGTTCAATTTCCGACGGAATGAGAAAAATACCTTTCAATAGCATATCAGAGTCATGATCGAGAAAATTAGATAGTGAATTACGTAAGTGAATTTAATTGATTGAAATTTATCAGTTATAAAAGATATTCCTGAATCTATTACAATAAGAAAGATATTTTATTTACTATTAAATTCGTAATTTCACAAATATTTTTTAGAGTGTTTCAAATCTATAGTGACCCAAATAATCGATTATCAAGATTTTTTTTTAATTCGACTTTTATATATCATCCAATAGCTTAAATATATTTTCATAATAATTTAATCTTAATTCTTGATATTGAAATTTTAGGAAAACGTGTTACTTTCTTATAATCACTGTCGAATTTTATCTCTTCCTGAAGGAAATAGAATATTTGAATAATAAAAAGTAAACTTAATACAAATTTTGTCTTCTTACCAAGTTGTAGTCTTATTATTATATACAGGAAAAATAAAAAATAATATGCATAGCGACAATAATAAAAAAAAATAAATAAATAAAAATAAAAACAATTTTTCCGCGTCAAAGTGAAATTTTAACAGAAGAAAAATAAAATACAAATTATTGCTCTTTTTTAATAAAATTAATTTATAATTATAATTATTTTCATTATAATTAAATATCAACTAAAATTATGTAAAAAAATACGTCAGATATGAAAAAATCAAATTTTTTTTCCTCAAAAAAATCATAAAAATTTAATGCAAAAATTGAAAAGATTCATTATAATCATAGAATTATGAAAACAAAATAAAAAATACGTCATTTATTTTTGGGACAATATTTGTTCAACTGTTTCCTGCAATATAAGTAAAATTTGCCTGAAACAAATTTACAATCATCTTTATTAATCAACTAAAATGACGCAGTAACAGAAAATAAATAACAATATCCAAATCATTAATTAACATAGCGAAAATTAAATATAATATTCAAATATTAACTTAATTAAGGAAAATTGAAGTAGAATAATCAAAAATAGAAAAAAATTAGTTTCTAATTTCTATTTAGAAATTTTGTTAGAAAATTCTAATTATTTTCATCAAAAATATTTTTTTTTCGAATTTATTATTTGGTAAAATAATTTAAGATGCAAATATTTTATTATTGGAGATTAAAATTTTTTAAAATTTATTTTTTAATTATTAATATTAAAAAAAAAATACTTATTTTTTTAGTACTTGACATCAAAGCCGATATTTTAAGTACAGAAATTGAATTATGGGTAAAATCTGGAATAAAATCAACACTTTTAAAACAAGCAATAAAAGCATTAGCCCTTCCAACGGCTCTTCAGCGAAAAGATTTTAAAGCTTTCGAAGGATTACAGGCAATTACAATATGTACAATATGTAAAGTTATGGTAAAAACTATAGTGACATTAAGAAAAGGAGGAACTCCACCGGAAGTTATATCAAAATCGATTGCCGATTTGTGTACACTTTTGAATTTACAAACGGAAGAAGTTTGCTCCGGTGTTGTTCAATTAAATGCTGTAAGTTAATTTTTCTAAACAAATTTTTTTTTATTTAATTTTAAATAAAAATAAGATAAGAAGGAAATAAAAAATTAAATGTATATAAAATTATTGAAGATTATTGAAAATTTCAAAATAAAAAAAATTTTGTAATTATGTCCTGAAATTTTGTAGACTTTTTGCTTATCAATAACTAAAATTAAACGCAAAATTTTGCAAAAATATCCACTCAATTTTTTTCGAACTTTTCATCAAATACAATTCAAAAATTTATTTTTTGACAACAAATTTTTTTATTCTATAAAACTAACTTTGTTTATTAAAAAATCATATTTTTTTAAAAAATTTTTCTGCAGGAATTTTAATTAACAATTTTTAATACTTTTATTCCTTGCATTAAAATTTATTAAAAATTTTAATCCCAATTTTCAACTTAAAAAAATAGACAATTTTTTAAAAAAGTCTTTTTCTATGTTTGAATGTTTTCTTCCTACATTGAAAAACTGTATTCCTTCCATAAAAAAAATTGAAATGATTATTTATTATTTTTAAACTATAAAAAATTCAAATTTTTTTTCAATAACCTGATTTTTTTTTAAATTAAATTTAAATTTTGTTGTGCAGCCAATAATTTTAAAAATTGTGGACTCAAAAACAAATATCAAAGCAACGGATATTTGTGGTGTAATTTTACAAAGTCATGCGTGTTCGACAAGTAGCAGTGAATATGACTGGACAATGGAAGTTGATAGCAGTACTCCAAAATTTATTTCAACAATGGAAAGTAATAAGACGATAAAAATTCTTCAAATTACTGATATTCATTATGATCCGAATTACGAGGTGAATGGCAATGCAGGTTGTGCTGAGCCGACATGTTGTCGAATGGGTCAAAATTCCACGAAAAATAATGGAAAACTTGCTGGATATTGGGGAGATTATAATAATTGTGATGCTCCTTGGCACGCCGTTGTCGATGCTCTTAATCACATAAAAAATACTCACACGGTATTTCAACAATTCTTCGAATATTAAAAAACAATAATTAAATTTTTATTTATCATAATTCAAAATATCTCACATACAAATAGTAAACTAGAAATTTTTAAATAATTAGATAATTTTAATTTTAGGATATTGAGTATATTTATTTTACTGGGGACATTATAGATCATGGAGTTTGGGAAACAACAACACAAGATAATGCAAAGACTTTGATAAAAAGCTACAATTTAATTAATGAAACTTTTCCGAATATGATGATATTTCCAATTCTGGGGAATCATGAACCGAATCCAGTTAATGTGTAAAGTCAATTTATTGAATTTTTCTATTAAAATAACTCTAAATTTTTTTCGAATTTCTTTTCTTAATGAATAAATTATAAATATCATATAAATTGCGTATGTTGATAAAAACTAATTTAAAAAAAATTTTTAATAGCAAATATTAAATGTCATAATTTTAAATATGTCAATAGTTCTTCAGTTTTTACTTATTTTTTACTTTTTTCATTATTATTGTTAAAATTAAAATAGAAGTTTATGAAAATAGAATTTTCTGAATGTAATTTTAGTTTTGCCCCACACGATATTGAGGAGGAAGAATTGAGCACTGTTTGGCTTTACAAATTATTGGCGGAACTTTGGATTAATTACGGATGGTTGCCGGAATCGACACGATCGACAATTTTAAGAGGCGGATTTTACACAGTTTCACCGAAAAAAGGATTCAGAATTATTGCAATGAATAACAATGTCTGCTACACATATAATTGGTGAGAATTGAAAAAATAAAAAAAAATTATAAATTTTTATAGTTCATAAAAAATAGCAATTTAATTGCGCATAATTTATTAAGCAATTAATTAATTAATAATAATAATAAAATAGTAATAATTAATTTATTATAAAAAAATCAAAATTCTCAGGTGGATTTTGTATCAACCGAAAGATCAAGACAATCAATTGAAGTGGTTAATGGAAACACTTCTTCAGGCGGAGAAGGACAGTGAATTTGTTCATATTTTAGCTCATATTCCGCCCGGTGATAATTCGTGTTTAATCGCTTGGAGTCGAGCTTTTCGAAAAATTGTCGATCGATTTTCACACATTATTTCGGCACAATTCAATGGACATACGCATAATGATGAATTAAAAGTTTTTTACAATCCCAACGATAATTCCGAAATAGTCAATGTTGCATGGAATGGAGGAAGTATCACGACTTACGCAAATCTAAATCCAAATTACAAAATTTACGACGTCAATGGAGATAACTATGTGAGATATTTATAATTTTATTTTTTTTATTTACTGAATTTATCATTCAAAAATCATTTAATTTATTATTGGCTAATCCAAAAAAAAATACACACGAATTTAAAAATGCAATTATTTAAAAAATAATTTAATTATAGCTAAAATTATAACTTTAAATTGTAAATGTAATTTTCATGTGTAAATTTACCTTTTATTTTGCATGTAGAAAGTAGAAGACTATGAGACGTGGATTTATAATTTAAGTCAAGCTAACGAAACTCCTGATCGAAATCCTGAATGGTTTAAATTGTATTCTTTCAAAGAGGAATATGATTTATCCGACACATCTCCAAGTTCCCTGAATGAATGGCTCATTGAGATGTCTAAAGATGATAACAAAATATTAAAATATCACAAGTGAGTCCTTTTTACCAATTTTATCCATTTAATTATTTTCTTAATTTACAGAAATCACAATTATTTTTATATATATTTTACGTGAATTTTCTATCCATAGAAATTTCGTCAAACATGCAGATCCAGCGCTGAGAGAAAGTTGCAATTCCAAGTGTCTAAAGAAACAATTTTGTTCCATTGTCACAAGTCAAGTGAACAACAATAAAGAATGTACATTTTTTGAAAATTTGAACAATCCAATTTTTCAAATGTTAAATAATACTGAAATAGGAGTATCCGTAAACAGCATTCTTGGAAAAGTAAAAGGGACAATTTTCGGTTAAAAAGAGAAATTCAATTTTTTTTTCTTTGAAAATAAATTTTCAACTTGAAAAATAAGATCTGTTTCGATTTGAATATCGAAAAAAAAATAATAATTAAGTTTCCATTTTGTACAAAAATTTGACTGAGAAAAAAAATGCTTTATAAGCTAAGATTTTTTTATAATAAAATTATTTTTCACAGTATTAATACAAATACAAGATTATTATTATTTACAAAAGATTCATATTATATATATATATATATTTACACAAAAAATATAACACACTACACGATTTAAATTTCACTATTTTCGTTCAATTGGATTTTATTATATCCAAACCATGCCAGGCAATTGATTTTTTCTTACGTATTTCATCCCAGGATAATTCTTCTAACAAGGAATTCTATAAAGAAAATATTACATTTCAATTATTATTATTTACTAATAAAAAATAATAAATCAACTAAAATTATTAATAATTAGATAAAATAAATTTTTAAATTACCTGTTTTCTGATGTAGTGAACAAGTTTTTCTATTTTTTCCGGATTATTGCCCTCAGAATTAAAAAATCTTCGCCAAACCGCGGAAGCGAGAATTTTGTCATCACCGGTGAGTCCTTCATCGTAGCAAATAACATAAAAATTAAATTGAGCCGAAAGTTCCGTCATTTGATTCCTGACAATTTTTGAAATCACTTGATTCTCTTTCGTCTAAAATGAAAATGTTAATTTTTTACAAAATTTTCATACTCTCTTCTATAACGTAGGAATATTTCCGAAAAATTTTTATTTTCTAGTTAATTGGAAATTTATAACTCAATTGAAATAATTCTATATGAAAAAATAATTAATACATTTTTCAATTTGGAAATTAGAAATAATAAATTTTAGAGAATATTTATCGTTTTGCTTAAAATAATTTTTTATAATTGAATTCTTCATAAAAAAAATCAATAACATACGCTAAGTTGCTTTCCTCTATGGGTACAATCTTCCCACATCGATTTCACGATTTGATTTCTTACAATCAAACCATCAGCACCTTCTGCCATACAACGAACCATCAATAACCATACGTGGAGTTCCGTAACTAAAAACCACGAATTAAATGTGTCCGGCATTTTGAATTCTAAAAGCAATTAAAACTAATTAATTTTCTTCAATTTATTCATTTTGAAAAATTAAAACATTTTTATAAATATTTCATTTCGAACAATTTTAGTTTAAATTTTTTTCGACATATTATTATTGATTTATTGAAATTTTAAAAATATAACAGAATTTACTTTTGACCAAATTTTCTTTTAACCGTATTTTTATTTTATCGAATTTTTATTTAACAGAATTATTGTTTGATGAAATTTTCTTTTAAAAGAATTTTTAATTGACGAAATTATCATTTATCCAAATATTCATTTGATTTGGCAATATTGATCGACTTTATATTATATTATATTTGTCATTTTGTTTTTGAATCGTTACATACCTACTTAAAACTTGAAAATAATATAAAACTCAAGAAAATTTATAATAAAAAATTTCTAAAAATCTTTAATCACGAAAAATTAGATAAATTAAAAAAAAAAATTCTAAAAATCTTTTAGAGACGAAAAATTTTATATAAATCACAAGAAAACAAAAATTTAATGAATTTACCTACAAAAAATGATGATTTTAGCAAAATAAGTTTTGTAATTTTAGTCATTTAAAAGAAAAAATTGTATTTATTTTATTTGAACAGGAAAGACTAAGATTTTTCGAAATTAAATTAAATACATTTATAATAAGTAAAAATCTTAATTTTTACGTACCTTTATAAAATTGGTCATAGTCTAACTCGTCTACGACATTTTCATATAAAAGAATTGCTAAACCAACAAATCTCTGTAAAACGAAATATAAATTTTCATTCGAATTTTGAGCGAATTTTTTTTTTTTTTATTTTTTATCATAAAAATGATAAAGGAATAAGTTTATTAAAAGATGAATAGAATTGAAATTAACGTTAATGAATATAAAAGAAAATATTGATATTAAAAAAATAATCACAAATTTACCTAATGTAAAAAATTTTTTAGACAATTGAATATATGAAAAACTCACCAATCTATTTAGATTGAAGTAACTGGTTTTGTTTAAAAATCTTTCCAAAAACGTCACACGCTTAGGTCGAGGCTGAGGTTTCGATGTGGTAACCGGCTTCGAGGAATAAAAATTTCTATTAGAATAAACAACTAGAGTACACGTTGGTGTCAGTTTCTTCATAAAATCACTTCTCCCATGACATAAATTATTATTTACATGTGTCATTTGCAAAAGCTAGAAAAACAATATTTCATCTCTTTTAAAATAATAAGTAAATCATTAAACCAAAATATTAAATATAAAAATATTCAAAAATATCAAAATAGAATAAAGAAAAATTTCCTACTTTCCTTTCTATTCTTATTTATAATAAAGAAATAAATTTTACCTTCGCAGCAGGTACTATTCGTATTCTTTGCATTTTTTTCTTTTTTTAAAACAATTCTTATAAACAATGTAGCCTTTTTCTTATTTAGAATTCACAGAAATAAGAGAAACATTTTTTTTTCACGAAAAATGCGTGTATGACATTTTTAAGGTTATGATGAACGCGGGCGGAAAACATTGGGAACTTCTCGGAATTTCTGCATGAGAATTAATGAAGATGGACGTTCTTGTGTGAAATTCATAAAACATTTTAGAAATTGGAATTCGTCTCCATAATTTAATAAAATCGATTATTTCGAAAAAACGAGGTAAATATTTAATAATTGTCTTTACTTTAAACACAAACTTAAAGAAACAGAAGCTTTTATTATTGATTGAAAATTCAATAGGAATTCCGCTGCGGACATACAAAACTAACAAATGGTAATTTTTATCATATATAATTAAACATTAATATTTTCTTTTATTACAGATTTTTCAACCTTGTGAGACATTTGAGTTAATTCTAAAATTTGTAAAATTCCATTTTTTTAAGGTTATGTCCATCTATTAGTGTATTGAATTAAATAGTTTTTCTTATCAGATCTTAAAGACTCCGCTTTTGTTACATGAGAATGAAAACAGTCTTGAAAAATACTTATTATTCATTTTACATTATAAAAATTGTAAGAAATTTTATAAAATTATAAATATTTTACAATTACTACGTCATTGTCAAGTTTATATTAAAATTAAAAATTTTAATTTCTATTTAAAGAATTAAAAATTGAAAAAAACATAAAGAACAACGATAATTGACAGTTATTAAAAAAGAATTATTTTAAGTACTTCAACTAATTTATATTTAGGTATGGATTGATAATTTTTTATATTTGGCTCTTTTATGATTCTTCGAGAATCTTAAACGTAGAAAATTACAATTTTTTCCCAAAATTTATTTGTTCTTTTTATAATTTTTTTTTTCCTTTTTCTGTGGAGGAACAAATATTTGTTATATATTCCTTTATTAGAGGAGATAACTATTATAAAAGTTGATAAATTTTTTTAAAAGGAGAATATAAATTTTTCTTGGTAAAAAATATATTTTGACTAGTTCAGAGGTTATGACTGGAATATTGTTATGTATTAATATAAAAGATCTAAAATTTATTCTAATTTGCATTTGATTATTTTCAGAAAAATGTCGAAGCCAAAAAATAAAAAACCAGGTAAATCTAATAAATTTGATCGGAGAAATTTGGATTTATCTGAATTACAAAAGCCTATTAAAATAAGTGTTTCGAGTTTGAAGGAAGCAGCAAATCTTCTTGATACGGGAACTCCAGAAATAAAAGATTTACTGAACCACGAAGTCAATTTACTCTACGAATGTCGAATATGTCGTAGTATTTTTCGTAGTCTTTTAAACTTAATATCACACAAAAGAGCTTTCTGTCAAGACAAATTCAACGGTTCTGGAAACAGGGTTTGCATAATTTTTTTAAATTTTACATTCATGTTTTATAATTTTTTTTTGTTCCTCTTTTTTTTATCAAATTCAATTATTTAAAAGCATTTTTTAATTAAAAACTTTTGAAATACAATTATTTCTGAAAATTTGTAACTGTAATTATTTTAAAAAGTTTTAAATAAAAACTCTAAAATTGAATTGTTTTTAGAAATTAAAAAAAAATATTACAAGCAGTTTAAATTTGCAGAAAATTTATTTCAAATTTAAAATCTTCTGCAATTGAATAATTAAAAAAAAAATTTATTTAAAAATCTGTAAAATTTAATTATTGTCCGAAACTTTTTTGACTATTAAAACTGAAAACTACGCCAAATTTTTAATTTCGAATAAATTGCTTAAATGAGTCTTTAGAAAAATTTAACATAGCAAGTTTAAGAATTTTTTTATAGAAATTCGTCCTATTTAATTAAAATTTTTAAAATTTGTCTTTGTTCAATTTTAAAATATTCAAAATAAATTTTTTTGATAATATTCTTATATAATTTTAATATCTAATAACATTAATTATTTAAAGTAAAATATTTATTAACTAATTAAATCTAATTAAAATAAAAAAATCGACTTTTTTGCTCCTTAGAGTTGTTCCGTAGCATGTACAATTTATTTTTCGCAAATATTTTATTATATCCTATATATAAATACTTTATTGGTTATTATTCAAAATAGTCTAATTATATCTATTGATTATTATATGAGAAAGTCAAAAATATTATGTGAAAATTGAACCTAATAGAATATATAAGAAGATATAAATTAAATATGAAATAGATTTTTTGTTTTTCTAGAAAGGATCAAAAACGAAAGTAAAATTTTTCATATTCCTATATTGGGTGAAACCAATGAAAATCATCTGAGAGTGATTGCTGGCATATTTTTAAAAAATTTAGTTTTAATATATGTGAAACTAGGTGAATTTCTAATTTCATTGGTCATAATATTATCGCACAAATTTTATTTCATTTTAAATTATAATTTATTAAAAGTAGAAGGTTCACGTTGTTATTTTGTAACCTTAAATGTTGCACTTTTTTGTAAATATTATTCAAAAACTATAAAATATTAGATATTATTATTTACTAGAAACAAATCAATTTATTCTACATCATAAAATATTGGAATTATTTTATAATTTTATTTTATTTTTTAATATTGATTCGTATTTGAAAATTTTTTCAGTAAAAAAATTTCACAATTTTTCGAAGCTTATAACTTTTTTCTGGAAGCTTTAAAATATTTGGAGTTTCGCACATATTTTAATGTTCATATAATTTAACTGTTATAAAAATTTGATAAAGGTATTTTGCACCGTTTCAGAATTAATGAATTTGAAAATTTTTTATATTAAATAGTTAATTCTAGGACTTTAAAGTTTTACATCTCTTTCTATTCTCATAAAAAAAGAGACAGATGTGATATTTTTTGTTAATTTCAAGTTAAAGCAAAATACTTTCATCGAATTTCCATAGCAGGTAAATTATATCAATATTAAAATATGTGCGAAACCCCAAATATTTTAAAGCTTCGAAAAATTGTGAAATTTTTATACTGAAAAAATTTTCAAATACGAATCAATATTTAAAAATAAAATAAAATTATTTAATACATTTAAGGTTACGAATTCACGTCGTGAACCTCCTAATTTTAATAAATTATAACTTAGAACGAAATAAAATTTACACGATAATATTATGACCAATGAACTTGAAAATTCATATAGTTTTACATATAATTTAAACCAAATTTTTTTAAAAATGTGCCAGCAACGACTTTCAGATAATTTTCAGTGGTTTACAATATTCAATTAATTTATATTAAATCAGAGAAGTCAGGGAATTTAATAAAAAGTGCTGGAAAAATGTTGTAAACCTAGATTTCCATTAAAATATTAATATATTTTTTATTGTCATTTTTTTAACTTTTTTTTTAGACACGAGAATACGCGAATTCGGTAACAACGACAGAAAATTTAGAATTAGATCAAATTATTCTCGACGGTTTAGTGAATCCGTCAAAAAATGACAGAATTCTTCGAAGTCAAGCTCCAGTTAAAGCAAATAAAGCAGATTTAACGAGTGTTGTTCACATGCTTCAAAAGAAGCAAGTGGAAAAATTATGCGATGTTCCCACTGAGACATCGGAATTGCAAACCGATGAAACTGATTGTCATCAAGTTGTTCTTCAAGTTTTGGATTCAAAACGAGCAGCATACCAAACATTGGTCCAGCCGAATTTATCTTCCGATGATCTTATGGAAAATCAGGCAAGTATTTCATCTATTTAACAGGGAAATAGGAAATTTAGGAAAAATTTTTGGAGAAAAATCGAGAATTAATCAATAATTTTTTATCAAACGGAAAATTTTATTAAAAATATAAATTTTTACTATAATTTCTCTTTTTTTACGTAAATTTCTATTTCCTTCAATTTTCAATATTGTTTTTATTTTCTAAAATTTTCGTTATTCGGATTTAATAAATTTCTTTTTTTTGGAATTTCTAAATTTTTTATATTTATTAATTTTCATTAAGTAAAATAATAAAATTTATAATTTTTCTCGTAAATTTTTGTTTCTCTTGAAAATTTTTACTGTAATTCTGAATAACATGCAATAATTTCCTCAAATCAGATTCAAAAAACTTTTAAGATAAAATTCAAAAATGAACTTGAAAATTTGTTCGAAAAATCTTAAGACTGTTGTTAATTAAATCCTGAAATATTCTAAATATAAGTATAAGAATAATAATCAAAAATTTACACAGTTTTTTTTAAAAAAAAAGAGTTAGGTAAATAAAAATTGTATTTGCTCTAAATAAATTTTTTTATTTAAAACAAAAAAAAAGTTATCAGGCTCTGAGATAAATATACTTTTATTTGCTTCAAATAAATTTTATTTGTCTCAAATAAACACCCATAAAATATTTCTTTGTGTGTGAACTCATACAAATTTAAAAGAAATGTCTAATTCAAAAATAATTTTTCAAAAATTATTAAAAACTTAATATTTAAAAAAAATTAATAATAGTTCATAATGTACACTCTTTTAGGACTTCTAAATATATTATTTTCATTTATAGATTTAAAATAAAAAATTTACAATAATAAAGACTAAAAATTTTGATATCTAAATTGGTTATTAATTTTGTCTTTTTTGGTACATAAAGTATGTAATTTTTAATGTCGAAGACGCTTCAAGGTCAGGAGACATCGTCTTTAATTTTAGAATGGCTATTGTTAAATATAATTTTTAAATAATTGATTAATTTATGAAATTTGATTATTACAGGTGATTGAGCTTGATAATATTTTAAGTCAAGATAGTGCCGTTCTTCGAGCCGATGGACAAATTGAAAAAAGTGACAGTCCTGTACAATTTTATGGCGAGGAAGATACCAACAGATTGGTTTGCAATATTTGTAAGAATGTTGAAAATTATATAATTTTTGTGTTTCAATTTTCGCTCAAAAATTTTCCAATGGAAAAATAATATGTATTTTCAAATTAAAGATAGTATAATATTAATAATTTAATAGTAAAAAAAATAAAAATGAATTTCTTTTATCGAAAGTGAAAGAAATGAATTTACTTGTCAAAGAAATTGGATTTTTAGAAAAACAATGAATATTAAAATTTGTAAATTAAATTATAAAAATAATTTGAACATTTATAATTTCAGGTTCTTTGACGTTCATGACACAGCAAACATTTGATTCTCATTTCCGAATCAAACATGCAGCAGTACGCGATTGTTATTTATGTCCTTTTAATTCCTGTACTGCATCCTTTTCTAGTTCGATGGGTGTTAAACGACATTTAACGAATGGTAATTATAACGCTGAATGAAAAAACAAAATTTTTCTGTTAATCTTTTAAAATATTCTCGTCTCTTCTTTTCTAAAAATGTTATATATTATTAAAATATTGTAATGCTAAATAATTATTATTTATATTATTTTATAAAAGAACATTTTTTTAGTTCACAAAAAAATTGGTCAGGAGCTTAAAACTTTGAGTCAACAAATAGAAAAACGAACTGTTCGCTCGAAACCACTTAACGTTGTTGTAAATAAAAAATCAAAGAAGTCAGACAATTTTGATGACAATTCTTTGGAGACGCAGGTATTTATTGAAAATTTAATTTTTATTGTATAGAAAATTCTTCACTGAATTTTACTTTAAAGTTATTAAAATAAAAAAAAAATTGATTTTTTGTTTCTTTTATTTTTTATTGAACATTATTTATGAAATGTATATTATTATTTAATGAAATTTAAACCTAATAATAATTGAAATAATTTGAATTGAAAATATTAACAGCAGTGGGTACAACGTATAGACTCGACAGCAATGCACGAGTGTATTTCGTGTGGAGAAAAATTCGACGGAAAATCTGAACTCGTGATTCATTTAAAACATTGTCTTAGTGCAAATGTTGATAGAATGAATAATCTTCTCTATGAAGGTGATGCGGAATGTGAAGAAAATGTTATAAAAGACTCGGAAATTAATGAAGTTCCTGTTCTTAATTTATCTAATGATTCCCTAACGGAGGAAACGCATGACGTTCCTTCAGAAATAGAATGTTTGCCAATTCAAGTTCAAGGAATTGCGAGAATCAGCGAAGAAGAGTGGAGCAAAATTCCAAGTAGATCGTCCGAGGATGAAGATATTATAGCAGGTAAAAAAAATTAATATTATTTAAAGAATGTAAATATTTTAATATTAATGTTGGATAAATGTTAAAATTTGTTTCCATATTTAAAAGTTCATCTTTCATTTTCAGAGACTCCACCGAAATTTGATAATAATCGAGGAATAGTTTTCTGCCCAAGAAAAAAAAATGGTCCATTAATTACAGAAAATTTAGTTCTTCCGGTAGGAAATTATTTGACATCTTTGGATTACTCGAGAAAAAGAAAATCAACTTTTACCGATGTTAATAGCACAGTCGTAGGTTCGTCTAAAACAATATTTTATGTTTCTTCTACAATTTTTTTTTTATGTTTTTAAATTAACAATTTTTTTCGATTATTTTTAGGTGAGAAATTAAATAAAATAACTTGTCAAGAATATGAGACTGATAATAATGTAATAAAGAAAAAACCGAGTAGTTCACAGCATTTTAGTGAGACAATCGCATCAATTTCGGATCACACAAAATTGGAATGCACCGCCTGTAGGCTAAGTTTTTCAAATATCACAAGTCTAAATCGACATATGGAGAATCATATAAAAATCAATCGTTTCCGATGCAAGAAATGCGATTTTAAATCGACTAGTCGAAATGACTGTGTTGGACATTGTAATAGAGTGCATAATGCCATGAATAATCGACAAGTACTTAATGAAATGATTTCACAAGTATCTCAAGATCAATTGACTCAATCACAGGGAATGATAACTGTCGATCCGTCCAATTTGAATTCCAATGTCTCGAGACAAGTAAATTCACAATTTGGCAATAACAATTCTACCACAAGTGAGTAAAATTTTATATTAATGAAACAAGAAGAAAATCTCTTCAGATTCTAAATACTTTTAATGGTATTTAAAAAAATTGAATTTTCAAATATTTAAATGAACTTTCTATTTCATTCGATACTCTTTTATTTTCATTTATTAGTCTCAAATTTTTAAAATTTCTTTAAACATTTTTCTTTTAAAATGTAATAATTACTTTATTTTAGTCACATTAATAACTTTTAACCAAATGTAAGTTACCAATTTTGTTTTTTGCAGATGATTTTAGATTAAATAACAAATATTATACAACAACAAAAAAACTTTAAAAATCGAGTGAGATGTAATTTATTTCTATAAATTGTTTATATTTTTAACAAATTAAGTAAATTTTAAAAATGATGAATATTAATCGAATTAATAAATAATTGAACCGACGGATCGTAGAAGGGCATATAGGCCATGCTAAATATGTACATTGCGTATATGCCCTTCTACGATCCGTTGGTTCAATTTGTAAATTTACGTAAAAAAGTATTTATAATGATAACTTCTATAAATATTCAAAATTCCCAAAACTATTCAACTTTTGTTTTTCATTTATTGTTTCGAACAAAAAAACGTGTATTATAAGAAAAATTTTCGACACAATTTCTATACACCAAATGAATATTTCACCTAATTTATTTTTATTCTTTTGATAGATTTTCTAATTAATATAAATTACTATAATTTTTTTTTTTTATTATAAGTATATAATATTAAAACACCTTAAAAAGTTTTGAAAATTAAAATCTGCACGTGATGAATTATGATTTTGTTTTACTATGACAAAAAGTTTTTTAAAAAAAGCAAAATTTGATTAAGAATTTTGAAAACAAATTTAAGAACTGATTAGTTTAAAAAAATTGAAAGTTGTACTAGACAGTACTAGGTTGCAAATTTTCCATGAAGTTAAAATTTTTGAAGAAGAATTTCAAAAAAACATAAGTTTAGCTAAATAATGTTATCAAATAATATTTTTCCAAAAATTAAGCACAATTTACATTTTTTAAATATTTTGAATTTTTTTAAACCAGTTTCAATATTTGTTTTTGTAATTTTTATTGAAATTACGATTTTTAAAACAAAAATATTTAAGTCACAGATCACAAGTCTAGTATAAATAAAAAACAAATTTTAATTTTTTTTCTCTTAAATTTTTTAAATTTTTTCAAAAGTCGAATTTCAAGGATAGAACATTTTTCCATTTATTTTTTAAATAAATTATAATAGGAAATTTTAATAGTAAATTAAAAGATTGTAAATTGGTTAGAAGTTTTATATTTACACTTTTTTTTCAAATAAAACACATGATATGTTAAAAAAAATTTTCAAATTTAAGAAATTAAAAAAAAAAATGTTTAATTAATTCACACTACTAATTTATTCATTTTAATTCTTTTGTAATTTAATTAGGTATATTTAAAATCATTTATTATTTTTACTTTTCGAATACTGTATTAATTTCTAGGCATTATTTTTATATTCTAATTGGAATTAATTTTTCTTTTGTATTAGAGGATTAATTTAGAAAAATTTAGAATTTTTTTCAAACTTGTGAAAAAACCTTGAATTTTATTCTCAAAATAAAATGAAAAAAAAATTGTTTTTTTTTACTAAATTAAAATTGAAATGTTCTTATTACAGATTTATTGCGTACTCGGAATAATGCAATAAAAAATTCGGAATTAAGAAATCCATCGGATACGGATACAGAACCAGAAGATAGAGAAGCGATTAATCGAAAAATTGATGCGAATCCAAATCTTCCTGAATTGATACAAGAAATTGTCGTTGGAACAAATACAACTTCACGTGCATCAACATCAAACGTGAATGGTCAATCACGTTTAACAAATAATAATATTGAACGTGTCCGCAAAGAACAAATTTGCGATTACAGTCCAAGTAATTCAGAATTCATGAATACTTTACACGACAGTGACAACAATGAATATGAGAAATTCGATCCATGGGATCGTCAAAATAATTTGTCGCGCGCATCAAACAGAAGTGATTATAGTATGACCACGCGAAGTTGTTCGAGATTGAGTAAAAAAATTAATTCCGAAACTGATGAAGACGATGATATAACTCCTGAATTGTATAAGCCAGATTCGGATAGTCAAAAAAAATCGAAATCATATCGTCGATCTAAGTCACGATCATCGATGCATTCAAATTCGGCAAGGGAAGTGAGAAGTGAGTCGCGAATGATGACGAGAAGTCGATCGCGATTAGGAAGTAAAATTTCTTTGAACGAAGACATTGACGATTCAATATATGATCCAAGGTCTGAGACGCTCGATGAAAATAAAATTGAACGACCAAAATCGCGAGCGAAAAAAGAAGAAGTTAAGGAAAAACGAAGACGTGGTCGCCCTAAAAAAGGTGAGAGACGTTCAGCGCCTGGGAAAATTGGTGAATCGACAACAAGTAGACGTGAATCGTTTAGCAGTGAAAGCTCACAAATTCAACGACCAGTTAGAAGTCGCGTGAAACATGTCGAAAAAGATTTTATTTACGATCTCGAGGATGATAATTTTATAAAATCACAATCACATTATTCGAAAAAAAGTTTCGAACAAAATGGAATATCATCAAATGAAGAATTAACGATTCTTCAAAATGTTACCAATCCTGATTCGAGTGTTGAATTAGAAAGTCAGGAATTATTTTTTCGTGGCTTTCCACGACAGCCGGAAATTTTAAATATTGATTAAATATTGATTTATAGATTCATAATATTTTTTTTTTAAATTATGAGAGAAGTTTTGGGAAAGTTTTTAATTTTTAACAATTTTTTTCTTCTGCTTCTCTATTTCGAATTTTTTTTCTCATTATTTTTTTTTGAGATTAATTAATTGCTCATTCAATAGATTTGAAAAGTATATAATTACAACTTTTCATTAATTTGTCTTTTACAAGTATTAATAATATTTTCAACTTGTACATATTTTAAGACTATTATGTAAATATTTTTTCGATATATATATATATATATATATATTGAAATTTTTAATGATTTAAAAATTTCAATAAACTTTACTCGTTATTTTTAATCACGGGTTTATATTTAGATTAAATTATTGTTTATAATAATGTATATGGTAATTGACGGCATTTAAAATTTACCTGGAAGCTGACAAAATGCCATAACATTTTGAGTTTTCATTTCATTTTTTTTTTGTTTTGCAAAATTATTTCGGAAATTGTTTTTTTAACAGTTTTTTTTTCTCCTTTTTATTTGAAGGTGAATTTTAACAAAAAAATTAAATGCACATCTAGAAAATTATAAGGTTTCTCAGGCTAATAACAATTTCTCGTCAATATACGTTTATTACAAGAGTAATTTAAATTTTGTAAAAAAAAAAATGCCGCTACATTTTGTAATAAAACTTGTAAGAAATATTTATGTGGTTTTGAAATTATTTTCAAGTGGTTTTAATTTAAAATTTTTATTATCTTCGTTAAAATATTTTCAATAAAAAAAAAATTTTATTTACAGTTATTTTCAAATAAATCAAACTCCTTTTTTAAAAAATCTTACTTATTTTATCATTTTAACATGTTTTTGTAATTTTATTCAAAAAAGGTTTTTTTTTGCATTTTTATGCAATTTTTTTTTCCAAATTTTTGAATATACACCTACTTATAAAATTTTCTTTCTTTTCTTTTGAAAAGTTACTCACAGAATTTTTTCTAATAAATATAATTTCAATTTTGTAATTTTTAGTTAAAAACATATTTTTTAGAAACATTTTAGTAATTTTTTGCAATTTTTGGTTGTTTTTAAAATTTTTGATTGGAAATGTATAAAAAAAAAAGAAAAAAAATATATTACATTCCCATAAAAAATAATTCGATATTTATGAAACCTGATTTCAGGAGTCGGTAATTACGAATCTGAAATAAATTTTTTACAATTCGTTCAATTATTCATTTTATATATTCTGAATATGTAATATTCTTGATTCTTCATTTTCGCACAAGAAATTGAAAAAGTAGAAAATTTCGTTCATCCGTCAAGAGCTGCCCTCTAGTGGCATTGCACACTTGTTTAAATTCTACGTATTTTCCTTTTCATTGTTGTTATCCTGACTATAAATTTTCAATTTCTTGGGTGCAAATAAAAGTTCAAAAATTTAGCAAACCTGTAATTTTTTCAGATTTTTCGATAATTATCGTAATGACGGTCATTTTTAACAAAGTAACATTGCAGTACACCGTTAATTTATAATTTTAATCTTTATTCTGTTATTGAATAATATTATATTCAAATTTATTTTATTTTTTTTATATAAATAACATTTGTTATTATTATTTTATTTAAAATTATAATTAATAAGTCAGTGTGTATTTTGTAGGTGTTAAAAAATTCAAATTTTCCAATTTTTTCCGCGTCTGTGCACAACAATATGCGCAAAAGTCAAGACCAGAAATAAATCCCTCTGGTGGTAAAAATGAAAAGTTTAAATTCATGATGTTAACAAACGAGCGCAGAAGCGTGAAACACGGCGCCGGGTACGGTTGTGTTTTTGTGATTTCTTGTAAATTGAAAGTTTGAAAAAAAAAATATTAATCAAATGCACGTTTACTAGTGACGCGGTAAACTTTTTCCCCTTTTGTCCTTTTTTCTATTTAAAGGAACATTACAAGTGTTTTGCATATGACAGTGTAATTTACAAGTGTTTGTGACAAGTTTTTTTCATTGCAGAAATTTTACGCGGTCGCCGGAAGGATTTGTTTTTATTTTTTGGGTAAGTGAAAATATGTTTATGTTTTTAAAAATTTCATTTGACGTATATTGTTAAAGAAACGATATGGAAAAATATAAATGTTATTTTGTTAAATATGTCTTTATAATCTTGATGGTAAGACTCGCCTTCTTATGCGATGATCATGCGTAAAATCTCATCTTCCCATATAGCATCTTGGACCAAAATTTTTCCGTTTATTCAAATGCGTCTCAGTTTGAAAAGGCAATTTCTTTTTAAGAGGCTTGGGAATAAACAGAGGGAACGGATGTTGTGAATTGTATTATGTCACCCCCCCTTCGTATTTTATGAGAGCACGTCAAGTGTCTTCCGGAGAGATGTAAATAAAATCTTCTAAATGAGATTCGAGAGAGCGAGGTAAAAAAGGTTTCATGGTGGGGGAGTGAAAAAAAATACTGTCCTCGTCTTTTGTTATTTGTAGTCTTTTCAAATAGTCCTTTGTTATGTGGTTTTTTTCCCCCATTTTCTTGACATGTTTTTTTTTTTTAAATAAAAATCTTGATCTTAAAAGATCCCAAACATGTAATTATAGAATTGTAATCGAATAAGTTGATACCTATATTTGGATTAATAATTGATAACTAATTTACATACATAAATGGCATTTTATTTTTTATTCGTTTCATTTAACAATTTATGTACATTTTATCTAAAATTAAGAAAAATTTTTAAGGTTAGGTTAAAGAACAAAATTTTCTTAATATTGTTTGCCTTAAAAGGAGATTTGACTCATAAAATTTTATCTTGTGGGTTTTTGTCATCAAACTAATAAGATAACTGCATTTTCCTTTGATAAGATGCTCTGTTGTATTTTAATGCAGTTTGACTAATTTAAAAGTTGTGATTTCTTTAAAGTGACTGACCTTTTTGAATAAAAAGTATTTATAATTGTACTTTTTTCAATTTTTATGACTCATGAATTTATTTTAAAATGAAATTTTTATAAAACAAACCAGTACAATCTCGTAGCGTTTAGAAATAGATGAACTGTGTTTTTCTCTCGCGTATGAGATTTACGAGTGCCTGGATTTTGTTAGAAAGTAAATTAACTTTTGTAAGTGATCGAAGCTATTTGTCAGACTCGAGTACATATGTAATAGATTTAAACGATATTGGAACCATAATTTTTTATTTATTTATTATTTGAGTCGTACATAGTTACCTATAAATTTAAATTTTCGTTTAACATATGCTTTCGATTAAGAACCGTTTCTCGAACCCGATTATTAATCCACTTTATTTCTCTCTTAACTTTTCGGATAAGTTCATTACACTCACACGGCAAATTGCATTTAAGCAGAACCGTTGTATAATTTTCAAGTGAGGAATTACAATGTATATATTTTCAAGATAACCGCACACGTGGAGAGTTCGGAATATTATTCTTGTTAAATTTTGGCTCACGAGTTGTATATTACGTGATGAGTTTGAAAATGAAGGATACCTGAAAATTCAAAGGTGCAATCACACGTGACCTGAATGTGACCCTTTTATCGAGGCTCATTTGGTCATTATCCAGGTTGTTCTTATGTAGATTTACATCCACATTATCATCTCTCTAAATTGTTTCGAGACGAGAGAGTCACAGTTATCTAGTTTAATATTCTTGCACTTACTCGATGCGTCATTCGAATATATTGTATTGTTCAGTTGTAACAAAAAAAAATTAGAAAATTAATTCCTTTATAATTTAACAAATATAATAATGACTTTCATTTATCAAGTTATTTTATAGACTTGGATTTTGTTCCTGATTTCTTAAGTGCATTTTTTTATAGCTGCTGCTTAATTGGTTTTTTTCAGAATGACTCAAATCATATTGATTAATTTTTAATTTTGGGAGACTATTAAAATTAATTAGACTTAAAAGTAAAATTTTTTTATTAAAAAAAATATATTTAAAAACACACGCTAATTTATTCAGACATGGTCCGAAGGTTTATTTACCTTTTAAATGCTATTAAAAAAAATGATTCACAATTGGATTATAATTTACTATTTATCATTTCGATTTCTATTAAGAAATAAATAATTATAAATTAATTGGCATTAGAAGTGACAAAAATGATTAACATAAAATACACCAGGAGGAGGTTGAAGTCAAGGCTGTTTTAATAACTTAATTCTTGAACTTCATGAGTGAATTAAAATTGATATTAATTTAAATTATATGCATATATTTAAAACTGGGTCGCTGACCAGCTTAATTTAATAAATTTGCTTTCGCTTATAGCCTAATTAGTCATCAAAATGTTTTCACTCTCTTTCAAGTGACTAAGCGCGCGCGGAGTCTAAATTCGAATAAAAACTCCTACGCAGACACAATTAGTGCAATTATATTATTCAAGTAATATACATTGATGAAAGCAACAAAACTAAGTCTTGTATTTTAATTAATTGAACTTTTTGTCTTATATACTTGACCGGATGTTGTTTTAGAATATATATATAATTATCATAGGAAAGTTTCTCTCGAGCAAATATAACCGTTCTGTTTTTTTGTCAAAGCACATGGTTCAAATTTTATTTTTATTTTATCATAAATTTTATTGGACTATAATGATTTATAATTTTTTATGTCATTGATTTTTAATTTTTGACTTCCTGAAGAGGAAATCATTTTGATTTTGAAACGTTGGAAAAAATAAACTGAATTAAATAAAAAAAATTTCTTGTCCGAATATAATCGTTTGTTATCCGCCTACGCCTACATATTTAAATCATTATGTAATTATATTATTTATTAACTATTATGTAATTCAATTATTCAGTAATTACTTATTTGAATTATAATTAAATTATTCTGTACCAAATTAATGCGTTAGTGAAAAAATTAAGATCGAATTGATTTTGAATGTTATTCTTAATTCACTTTCTATTTGATTTTCTATTGAATTACATATAAACTTTGTTGATGAAAATTTATTAATTTATTCATTTACTTAGTATCATTTAATCTTCAATTTTTGTTTTATTGCATTAATAATTCCTTATGTTAATAATGTTAATTAACAATGGTTTATTTTTTATGTAATTATATGTATACACTATGAAAAAAAAATTTATTTGATTCAAATACTCGATTACTATTATCAAATAAATATTTACTTAAACCAAATAATTTTTATTTTAATTAAATAAACTGTATTTGAACCAATAATTTCTGTATTTGAAATAAATATCATTTAATTGATTCAAATAATAATTATTTGGTTTAAGTAAATATTTATTTGATAATAGTCAAGTAATCGAGTATTTGTATCAAATAAATTTTTTTTCAGTGTACATAATTAATTATTTTACAAAAAAAAACACGATTACAACGATTAAAAATTAGTTGATGTTTGTTTCTAGATTATTTATATTTTATTAAGTTTTGTGTAAACACAGTACAAAGACAATTGACAAATGTGTTTTCTCGAAAATTATAAAAGCCTGTGTTCGTTTTGCTGACAAAGTGTCTTGATAACAGTTAATTTCTAAAGTACCAGACATTCTCAACACACACCGCGACGAGCTATTAAGAAATGAGTTTGTTCAAGAACATCCTCAGACATCGCTTGAATTTTACTGCGAGATGATTCGCGCTAAATTGCTATAATATAAGCGTACAAAATTTCGCGGAAGTTCTTATTTCGTCTACTTGTTTTTATCTTTCGTTTGTACTTTTATTTTTCTAAACACTATATTAGAAACAATAAATTCATTAAAAAATTTCAATTTTATTTTAATAATTTGCTGTTTAAATAAATTTTATTCTCTTTTTTTTATTGCACAAATGTTCTGAATTTTTTTTTTTTTTTTTTTTTTTTTTTGAAAGTTGAAAAACATTAAATCCGACAAAATTTAATTGAAAACCACATATTATTTTTTGTGCCAATATTATATATTGAAAGTTACATAACTGTTTCTGCATCACGTTTTCTGTCAAAGAAAAATTTATAAAATGCATCACCTCGTTTTTTTCCAATTTTTTCATTTTCTCTCAAATGTTTTTTTTTCTTTCTTTCTCTGACCTCATTTTCGAAAAGAACTCGTTAATCATTCATCTCGGTTGCACAATCTTCAACAAAAACCTGTGAAAGATGTCTGCAGAAGATCATTATGAAAAAAGTAGATTAAAATATTGAAAGATTTTTCTCTAAACAGAAAAAAAAGATTAGGAATGCATTATTATTAAATGACTTTCATAAAAAAAATAAGAAATTTCAGAAGAAAATATTTTAATTATGCTTTTCTGGTAGAAAAAAATTTAATAGTTATTAATACGAAAAACGTTTTTTTTTAGAAATTATAGTTTTTAGTGTAATTATAGAAGAAAAAATGGTACTTTGGATAAGTAATAGTTGACCAAATTCATTTCAAATCAGACAGGCTGAAATGTTTTAAAATTTAGAGAGAAAAAAACTTCAAACTGTTATAACTCTGATAGTAATTTAGATGTCTATAATTTTTTCGTTTTGCATTTGAAAAAGCTTTCAATTTTTTTTTTTCAAAATCCGTTGGAAAGATTAAAAAATGTTCAAAAATAACAAGATGGCGGCTATTTAAACAAAAAAATTTTAATTGAAATTACTCAAAAACCCCACTTTTTTTTGCTCAAATTTTTTTCGTCGATTGAATATTTTTGATAAGAATTTAATTTGTGTCCGATTCTGGTAGAAAAGAAAAAAAAAAATTTTAATTTTTTTAAGAAAAATTTGTTACTCTTCTACCAGAATCGGGCACAAGTTAAATTTTTATCAAAAATATTCTTTAAGGTGAAGAGAATCCATAAAAAAATTTTGAGCAAAAAAAAGTGGGTTGTTTGAGTAATTTCAATAAAAAATTTTTGATTAATATGGCCGCCATTTTGTTATTTTTGAACATTTTTTAATTTTTCCAACGGATTTTGAAAGAAAAATGAAAGCTTTTTCAAATGTAAGAAGAAAAAATGAGACATCTAAATTACTTTCAGAGCTATAACACTTTAAAGTTTTTTT